CGCCCCCCCAACCCATTTCCTTTCCAGACATCTTTATCTCCATGTTCCCATCTTGTTCTGTATCCATCTCCTCCTCTTTTATGCTTGGTAGCATTTGCAGAGACAGCTCCTTTTGGCTAAGAATAATGTTCCATACATAGGCAGTCCTGCAATGTGTGTATTCGTGTTACTGTATGTTTCCCATACTGCAAGCCTGGTGGTGGCACATGTCCCCATGGGATTGTATAGTGGCTTCTAACTTAACATAGCTTGACTGTGTTTACACACTTCCTTACAGGACTTTGACAAGTGAGCAGAACCAACAGAGCAGATGCCAGAGAGATGCTACATCTCCCAATTACATCAGTTTGGATAGACAAACATACTGTAAATTTAAGACATCCTTGTTTGTTGTTTATAGATGTAATAAAACTAGATACCATGAAATGTGATGGGGCTTCCAGAATCCTAAAGTATTTAATGTTACAAACCAAATATATTTCAGACTACAGCTCCTACCTATCATTCTGTATGTTGAGAACTAAGAGTGAAGATTGTGCATTTGTACATAGATATTTAATGCTGACCATCATTCTTCAGCCGTACACCTGTTCTACTCAAAGAAAAGTTTCCTCGCTAATGAGTTTGATGTAGTGAGCTCGTTAGCTGTAACCTGAAGGGATCTGTTCTGGCTGTGTGACGGGTGGCCCTTGCCAAGTGTGCAAAGCTTGGAAGTCACAACAGCTGTGGCTGGAGAGAGCAGAGGCAGTGGGTGGTGGCAGGGAAGTGCTGGAACAGATGCCTGGGGCCAAGGCCCTGAGAAAAGAGTTGGAACATGTTAGCAGAACCAGGTTAATCATTGTGCACTAGGTCCTTAGCTGTCTCTTTCAAGTGCTTTTTCAAGAAGGCTGGCTCACCTTTGCTAAAAAAGAACATACATAACCAAGATTATTATTATGGCAGCATCTATTTAGAGCTAACAGAACACTAAGTTATGGTGCTTTCACTGAAAAAGGATGTGCAAACACTTAATATACTTATAATTAATTATGATATGTTCATTCATGCATTCAAATAGTACAGTAGCTGTAATGAAATGCAAACTGCTTCAATTAATGTCTGTTACTAAAATGAAAATTCATGTGTGTGAACACTTTGACTAAAAAAGTAATGTAAAAACTATGGCCCTCTTCCACTTACAGTACAAGCAGAACTCTGCCATCTTGTCCAGGGCAACTAATAGCTCCTTCATGTCTGCCATGGCGTGCATCCACCACTCAAAATGCAAATGATGACTTTATGGCAATTTTATTTTTGAGCCTCCTTAGCTCCTATTTCTCTGCCGCTCTCGGTAGACACTGGCCTGTGCAGATCCTTAGCAGTATGGTATATAGATTACAGGACGAGGATGTGGTCAGTGGAGGCAACCACCATTAATTAAAGATCCACAATGGCTCCTGCACAGAAAGCAACAGATCCATATACAAATTAATCACCCAGTCTGAGTCCTGCAGGAAGGCCTCCCTTTTCCACAGCTTTACAGTCCAGTCATGTCCGCTGTTGTTTACCGTGCTCCAGATCCTGAATTAAACGTGAATGAGAACGATAAATCACGGTGAGGAAACACACAAACTCTCATTGCAGGTTTATGTGTTGAAGAGGCAAGCAGAAGGAGAGACAGGGTGAAAAAACAGCCTGCAGTCCGTTAATCAAGTTCAGAAGGATGGCTACAATGTTTTTTCTCCCCCTTTGGTTGGTTTAAATGATAGAGGGGGCAACGATTTTTCTTTTCCTCTCCTTTCTTTTTTATGACCACAGCTTTATAGATAAAGTCCAAGGAAAATGGAGAAGATACTCTCAGGAATTGTAGATTATGCTACTAATAGACTAGCTGTCTTGTGATTAATGTGTCTTTTCAACACTCATCAGTCATTCTAAATGAAGAAAATCATGACCCTGTCTAGATGGATAACACTATTTAAGCTAATTTCTTCATCAAATCATCTTTAAATTGGTCTTTTTTGCATGACTGTGTTTCTGCAGGGCAGATAGCACCTTTTGGCATCTACTGTAATCAATAGGTGTTATAATTTGTTCCTATGCTGTCTTTTTTTTTTTGTCTGTTTTGTTTTTTGTTTTTTAGGTACCATTTCTATCAACACCCTCCGTACTGCCTACACAGCCCCTGGAGAAAGTGAAATCCTAGACTTGGATGACAATCTCTACCTCGGGGGTCTGCCAGAGAACAAAATGGGGCTGGTGTTCCCCACTGAGGTGTGGACAGCATTGCTCAACTATGGCTACGTTGGTTGCATCCGGGATCTATTTATTGATGGACAGAGTAAGGATGTTCGCCGCCTGGCTGAGATCCAGAAGGCTGCTGGGGTCAAGCCCTCATGCTCTAAGGAGCCTCCCAAACAGTGTTTGAGCAACCCCTGCCAAAACAATGGGATCTGTAGAGAGGGCTGGAACCGCTATGTGTGTGACTGCTCTGGTACTGGATACCTGGGACGCTCCTGTGAAAGAGGTAAGAGCTTTTCCTTAGTTTGTCAACCACGCTCCTTGGAAGCAAATTTAAACCTAGTGTAGTTCTGTCTGTATGAAGTGCTGACGATGCTGCACAATGACATACCTCCTCATCACTGTGGATTGTCTTCTAAGTTAGGCATGAGATCATAGAGGCGTGAATACAACTGATATCAAAGATATCCTGAGAAAGAATGGTTTTAATTATATCCAATAGATTTACCATTTTTTTGTCTGAAAGGGACCTCCTTACATACAGTATTCAGGTTGAACACCATCACCAGTCAAAGGTGAAGGTCTTTTCTTTATGCTGATGGTTGAACATCAACAGCTCTCAAACAGTAACGTGAAAGCAATATAAGACTGTAAAGACAACACTGTGTGCATGAGGAAATAGAGACAGCCACAGAGAGGCTTGGAAGTCACAACAGATAAGGTACGTAGAGTGTTGACTGGCTGACTATGTTGAGTGGCAGGTGACAGATGCACCACTGAGACGATGCTGGTCACGTCCGCCGTGCACACTAGTCTGTAAATTGGCTGTCTTCTGCTAAACATTTAGCTCGTCAAATCACTCGTTCATGACCAGACCTGGTGCAGAATATTTATCCCTGTCCCCTTCAGGGAAGAGAAATGAGAGAAGTGAATATCTTAGCTGGAGTCAAAGTACACTTGAATTTGCAGTAGCTTGTTACATGGAAAGCACATTTTTATTGGTGTCATAGCAGCAAATGAGCGAAAACAATTAACATATGTAGAGTATAATCAAGTGAAATGTCAAAAAGAGCCCAAGCATGTGATACTGTTAACACAGCGTGATGCATCTGCACAGGAGCGACAGGCGGAAAAGGTTCTCTCATAAAAAAACAAAAGCAAACACAAAAACATCCCACACAGTTAGGTGTATCAGCTCAGCATGTAGCTGTGGTTCTCCTCTGCGCTTAAGTCATTCATCTTATAAAACAATGTTGCCTAAAGATTCTGTGACTGGTGTTGGGGAATATGTCTGGCTGAGATCGTAGTGATGTGGTTTGATGCTGATCTGCTGAGTCAAATGAAAGCTAAACTAATACAGAAGCACATGACACCAGAAAGATGCTGTGCTTCCTGCTTACTGTTATGAATGCAGTTGTGTGGCCAGTGAGAGGAAAAAAAAAACTAAAAGTGTTACATGAAAGAACGAAACTGAGCCTCCTCTACCTCTGATGAGTGTTTCACTTAGGTGCTGCTCTGATTTTCCACATATGCTCTTCCATTCTAGCTAAGGAGTTGAAAGGAATTAGGGCATAGTACACGAGGGAGGTGGAGTGGGCATGGGATACAGATCATTCCACTTCAGAAAGACAATTACTTATCTGGAGAGTGTTCTTGGATTCAAAAGGCTATCATCTATTTTGACTTCATCTTAAAACAAAAGCAGAAAACAAGCAGCTTGAAACTGCTTCAGAGGAAAGTGTTGCGAAGGTATTTGCCACTATGACCTCCTGTCCGTCTTTAACACTCTGGCGTCTTGGTTAATCTGACCAGGTCTCTTTTTTTATGGCTGTCTTTGTTCTTGTGTATAAGACTGGCATCAGCTAGGGTATGAGTGGGAGCAATGGTACTGTGGATGGGCACTGGCATGGTGCCAGCTGTTTTGATGGTTCCAGATTGTTTCTGTGCTGGTTGAAATGATGCAGGCACCAGCAGGCCGAGTAGCTGTCAAAAGAATTACCCCAGGTTTCACTTATCCATGCATGGTGTACCACCCGGTGGCAAACTACAGCTACTGCATATGGCGGAGGAGGACAACAACAATGAGTGGAAGGAGCAGGAGGTGGAGTTTCGGAAGAGAACCATAGAGCTATTCATCCTATTCTGAGAGATTTTAATTAAGCAGACAAAGCAATTTTCCCCCTTGCATCCCAAATGTCTTCCCCTTCATTGTTCCTCCAGTTGCTAATTAGCCCAAATATTAGTCTTGTACTGTGAGACTAAGGCAGCCTCCCAGATGGTGTAGTAGGTGTGTTGCTGCACATGCACGTATTCCCTAATGAAACAGGACATGGTGGATTGCCACACTGACAGCAACTGCATTATTTCACATGGATGGTGGTTACAGATGGATGTTTACTTATAAAAACCTGCAATGAATAAAGATAAATGCTGAAGATCCTTATACAGATCAATGCACAAATGCTCACAACCATGTGCTGGACACAAACACAGCTTGCTGACATATGCACATGTAAGCAGATGCTTTACAATGAGGCCAATACTATAGGTCTCTCTGCATCATTATGTGAAGGCATAAATTCAATATATTATTGCCATTATTTACAACAGGTGGATGATATCTTGCTCCAAAACAATATAATACATAAACCATTATATAAATTAGTATTATAAAGAAACAAACAAAAATCAAAAATGGTTATTTGGGCACATTTGTTGCTTCTCAGAGCATAAAGCTATTTGCCATTGGTCCGAAGCAAAAGCCAAGAGGTGCAGAATGTTATTGTGTAACTGTGAAATACCCTTAAAGGGGAATACAGTTCCATTTTAGCATTTAAACATGTTTTAGCCTTGCCCTTTGACAGGACACTGTGTTAGTCACCATTCCCCACACTTGAATATAGTCATAAATTAGAGAAAACTGGTAGTCTCATACCCTTAAGCTATGTACACATGTGCAGAAAATTGGTTAGAAAATAAGGAAAATGTGAGTGCAAGAGAACTGGGGGTTGATTTTGCAGGGATATAAACACATGTTGAGGAATAAAGGTTTTGGCTGGGAATGAAATAATCAAATTTATTCAGCGTAAGCACACAAACCAAAAGGAAACAATTTACCTCACACTCTTTGTCAAATGATTATGTTTAAGCTGTGCATCAGGGCTTTTGATGCCTGGGTTGTAGAGGTTCTGATAACAGGTCTTTTTTATGCCATAGACTGAAGGTTAATGAATAATAATGTGATAATTCTCTTTTAATAGTTTCAGTGGGCTGAAAAACCTAATTCCTACATACTAAATCTTTATCGTGTTGGTTGTTGTGTGTATTCTTGACACACACATCCCCCCACTCTGCACGGACACACTCATCTATTTTATATCTTTGCTCTCATTTGGTAGCACTAACAAGGTTGCTGTGGTTCTAGAGCAGCCGATGTGAAGATGGTCATTGATGATGCTGTTTCTTTCTGTAAATCAAGAGAGTAGTTTTCCTATCTCCAGAAAGCCTTAGCAGGTTGTTTTCACATGTTAATAGCTGGTGAATCTATGTGGCCAAACAGGCTGTGGTGAAGAAGACAAAAATCTTTTGCAGTTGTTTTCTGGCACATTGGATTGGGCCTTGGGCCCTGACACTATAGGACAACCCAAATCTGTGACATGCAGCACACAGCTTTTCCTTGTTTTCTTGTTAAAATCAGAAAAACAATGCTGTAAAGTGATTTACAAGACAAAAAAATGAATGCTTGGTTTATTCTGGTATACTCCATCTCCTCTTTGACAGGCTTCTGTTGCTCTGGCACAGACAGAACTTCAGTTCTCTCAGTTTATTTTGATATTAAATACAGGAGTGCCATTAAAACTGACTGGCCTCCAAGATTGGATTTTTGACAGGTGTTCACTTTGCATCAGGTAATGATTCCCTCACATGTCATTTTCCATGTTTTCATATCTATCTGGACGTTTTGTATTTATGTCATTTTAGACAACCTCTCATATTAGTTTCAGCAGAGTTGACATCTCAGATGAAATGCAATATCTACTCCAGCTGTGATTAATTTTATCAATCTTTTCAGTCTGAAAAAAATCCCTCTAGATTATTCACACAAATAATGTGTGCCTTATACGAGATGTTGCAAAACGCACATTATATCATTACTGTACTTCTCATGTTGATTCTTAGTAGGCGTTTTTATTCATTTTCAAATATATTCACAGATTTCCATCACCATCATTGCAGTGTTAAACATTTGTTTTGTTTCCTTTTTACTTTGAGCATGTACACCAATCAGCCATAACATTATGGCCACCTGCCTAACTCTGTGTACTCAAGAGGCGATGCAGCAGTTGGTTGGCATTCTGCAGCTCACTGTGCCGGTGTATATATTGGATCCTGTTTCATACAGAGGCGTTTTAAAAGGGTTAAGGCGGCAGTTCTGTGCAGTGTAGCACCTTGATCTGTCACTCATTGCTTGGCAGTAATGATTTTCCCAGCATCAACATACACCTGAACACCAGACAATTACTGTTTGTTTGTATTAAGCATACAGGTATTTACATACCAATAAAAGAATTCAGATACTTGCTGCAGCTAGAAAATCCTCTTATTGGTTCTAAGTACAAGCTGCTATTTCAATGACAAACATTTTTCAATTTTTAGGAACTAGACCAGTTTTCCTGGCATCTGCTAACAGTTTCCAAATGCAGCTCTTTGCTTTAGCTGCCTGGCAGGAAGCAGACAGTTTAGCACTGAGAACTCGTTTGTCACACATGGCATACCCCAGGAGGTTGTGGAGAAATTGGATTTGGGTGAAGAATGTGACGGAGTCATCCCAGGGGATGGATGTGACATTGGCTCCGTGTGACGACAAAGTGGTGATGAGGTGGTGCGTGTACAGTGGGAGGCTATGTCCCCACCACTCTCTATCTCCCATCCCTCCAGCTCGCCTTCTTTCTGTATCAGTCCTGCAGCTGCAAAAACGGCTTTGTTATTGGACTGTGGTTTAGTTACATGACCGGAAATGCTGTTACAACCTCCTGCCAGCATTAAACAATCTCTCCATCATTTCTCCAGATGGCTGCCTAATGCTTTGAGTAAATGCCGTCACCCTGAGCAGACGCTCAATATTCAAGGTCCACAGACTATTACGATTCTGTCGCTACTAGTGTTTTTCTCCCCAGTCAATACCAATTTGTCCTTTTGTAGTTTACCACTATTATATTGCAGATACAAAAACTGTAGATAGAACATTTTCTCCTTTCTTTACTCCTGTCTGGTATTTTTATTTTTTTCGGTTGTGTTTTTTATGTTTATGATGTATTTCAAGCTTTTTTAAATTTATTTATTTGTAACCATTTTAGCATGTACAGTACCTATCTCCATACTCTGTGTTTTCCCTGGTGAAGGCCACCACTTAAATTAGTACAGACAAGACAGGACATGAACTTTGGGGAAGTCTGGATAGCTGTCATCAGTAGCGCTCAGTGTTACATGCAATTTCAGAATCAGAATCAGCTTTACTGGCCAGGTGTGTCGGACACACAAGGAATTTGACTCTGGTACAGCGGCTCTCAATGTGTACATACATGTCAACAAGCAAGGGAATGTGCATTAGGAAAGAGATAAAAAAAAAGAGTAAAGTACTTATAAATAGAGACATATATACACACAGTCTGGATTAAATGGATCTATATGTACATTTAGGAGCCACTTACTGAGTTTTGAATTGACCCACTAAATTGGCACTGTATTTGTAATTCTAATAACTGTTGGATTGGTTAGATGTCAGAACAACTTGGGGTGTCTGCTGACAGTGAGTATTACACAGTATACATCTGCGAAACACATCCAGAGACACAGCCGGAGGACTGTAGTTAACCCTATGTTTGTCATCTTTAGGTTTAATCACCCTGCTATGAATGGCCTGGATGCTGGGTGATTGGTCCATGTAGGTTGCTGGTAGAAGCATTTGTCTAACAAGCACATTAAGGCTTTCTCAGTGTAGTGATTTTCAAATTACTGATTTATATTTTAATACTTATTCATTATCTCCCCTTACAATGCCTTTCTTTCTTTAAGATTGAAGGTCACAAAAAATTATATCCACAAATAAGATATAATTGTGAGTTCAGCTCCAGTCACTTGTTCACTGCAAATCGCATTTTGATTTTTCCTCCTTTCTGCAGAGGCAACGATCCTCAGCTATGACGGCAGTAAGTTTATGAAGGTCCAGCTGCCAGTGGTGATGCACACAGAAGCCGAAGATGTGTCTCTCCGCTTTCGCTCCCAGCGAGCCTATGGCATCTTGATAGCCACCACATCTCGGGACTCTGCTGACTCCCTGCGTTTAGAGCTGGAGAGCGGCCGGGTCCGCCTGATAATGCCTCGGCCGGTCAAACACCGATCACAGCAGCAAAGTCATATGACTAAAGTAAATTAGGCTTGATGATACTTTCACATGTATATAGTCACATACACACAGCACATCCCCCCCTCACACACACACACACACACACACACTAGTTATTCTTATTTTATACATATTGTGAGAGATGGTGTAAGACTTTCAATGGCAAAAGTCTGCGGCTCTCCGCTCACTGCCAGTTGAGCACACAGCTGCCGCTGCCCAGTAGGGAATGCTCAATGCAACTTCAGATCAAAATCCATACATGTGTGTTGCTCTAAAGGGCATACACTGATATACAGTATAT